TATAGAAAAAAAAAATTTAGTGGGTTCTTCCAACTTTTTCTACGTAGTCAGTGGAGAATCCAAAATTTAGTTTTTTTTTTCCTTTTAACGGAAAGAATTCATTGGAAAAAAGGAAGTAGTATTGGAAGCAGGACCCAGATCAAACATCCAAGTACAACATCTCAAATAGGTGATCACTAAACCATCAAATGTTGGGTAATTCAAAATTTAGTTTAAAATAATTAAAATATGATAACTAAATTCCTTATAATTTTTTTTTGTTAACGAAAAGAATTGGTTGGAAAAGAGGAAGTATATAGGATTGGAATTAGAACCAGATTAAGCATCCAAGTACACCATGTCAAATAGATGATCACTAAGCCATTACAACCCAAAATCTAGTTTAAAATAGTTAAAATACGATAACTAAATCCCTTATAAGTACATCTAAATGTCATTTGTTATATAGTAGAATGTCTAAAATACCTCTTTAAACTAATTTTGAGTATATAAAAAGGTAGAAGGACACCCAGCTGCTAACTTAATTTTGAGTATATAAAAAGGTAGGACACCCAGCCGCTAACTTTCTCTCTTAGCTCCATAGTCCTGAAATGCGAAGAATTCTTCATGAACTCTCTGCCAATCCCCATTTCATTCTTTTCAAAGTTTATTTTATTTTATTTTATTTTTTCTGCAATTTTGTTTTAAAGCTTTCGATTTTTAATTAATTGTTATTTGTCAACCGTACATTAAGTACAGTTGGCAACACAGTGATGCATGCAACAGTGTTATGTTTTTCGAATGTTTGTGATGGTTTCAACTTTGTCTCCCCTTTATTGTATGTGGCAGTGACTATATGGACTCATGTTGTGATGTTGATGAGACTAATATTGTCATATATAGGGATAGTATTATTTCCGCAGAAATTGAAGGAAGTAGTAAGGAAAACTCGTTTATTCCAAGTTAAGGTGCAGGGTCAAAGAATTTAGAATTATTGATTCGCGTACCTTGTGTTGCTGACGAGCCATCTAAGATGTTGGATCTTAAATCCAGCACTTCTAAGTTTTCAAAAACTGACAACCCTGCATGTAAACATTTTTTCCTTATTGGCAAAAGAGACAAAAATCAAATTCTAAAGAGCTTGTATTGTTTGGGGAGTTCTTAATCTGACTCAATCTAGCTAGTAGCTACGACAGTTAGATTATTGCAAATTAAAGGGAAAACTTTCATAACAAGCGTACCTTTGTTCTGTATCCTAGAAATTACATTGAAGGATAAATTCAGACTCCTTAGCTCCTTAAATGGTTGAAACAAGGAGAGGTTTAAATGCCAACTGTTTTTGGGGTCATATAAGCTATATGAGGGGTCATGAAACTGCCTGATATTGCTGAGGGAGAGCTTGATCACATGGCCTGTGGTGGAGTCGCAACCGACCCTCTCCCATTTACAACAACTCTTATGCTCAGGGTCATTAACCCATGAAGGAAGAAGTTGATCTGCATCGTAACCATCCGATTTGACAAAGGCCTTGAATTCCAGAAGAGCCGCCTTCTCCTCTTCAAAGCAGCCCCTGTTTCCGTGGATGAAAACCAAATGGATTAGAACCAACAATAAAAACTTAATTACCAGAACAGAATCCATCTAGGAATGAAGAAGAATCTGCTGATGGTAATATTATTTGCACAAGCTGGCGCTCCCTCTGGCTTTTATATTGTAATTATTCCTTGGACCAGTTGGCTTTTAGATAAGAAAGGACCTACAAACCTGGAATTTTTTTTATTTTGGTAGTTAAATATTGTTAGGAAGATTCACATTTCACAAGCCGATTTGGGATTTGACTTTAAGATCCTTCTGAAGATATTGGTAGTTAA